CACATTTGCCCAACATAAAACCCAGCCCAAGTGAGAACAGTGGACCTGGGACTTGACTAGCTTCACATTATAATATTTGTTTGAATTTAGTACCTCTTCTCACAGTGTTGTAAAAGAAAAACTACCAGACCAAGAGTTAGTAAGTAGATGAGCAAGAGCATCTCCAACAATAGTATGAAACAAAATTCTTTAAATTAAAGTTTGTTGACTTATATGACAATTTCAAAAGCCTTATTTGCAACTTGAATAATTTTTGCTTCAACAAATTCTTCAATTCAATTAATGCAATATCATAGAAAAGAATAAAAAATATGAAAATATGTTTAAAATGTCTATGTATTTATTATATGAAGCGAATAAATTGCATGTTTTTAACATTTTCAAGGTATATTTTGTTTTACCAGTCATGAAAAGAGAAAAAGAGGTTGCAGTTTTGATAACGGAAATTAAAGAAGCTATTGGAAAGAGTCTTTCTGATGTGACTCACCTATTTTAGAATTTCAAGATTGTTGAAGAGGCTGTTGTTGATTCTCGTCAAATTCTAATTTGCCCTTTGTAGTCGGTTGACTAATTTTGGACGTGAAGAATTTTTGTTAGCTTATTCATACAAAGTATGTTGGGTTGGAATTCCAAAACATCATTATTTCCTTCAACACCAAGGTTTCTCATAAGAGTCACAACTGGGCTCCACTAATGAGAAAACCAACTCATCTTTCGTGTAGTTATTGCTTATGCAAGAATTTAATCATGTATAGCTTTGACTATCTTCCCTTACCTTTTCCCATGCTAAAGACTAAGCTAGAAGCTCAAGAAGATAAAGTATAAGTCTGATTATCATCTGAATGTGCGGTTTAGATTCAAAAAACAACATAAGTCTGGTAAAATAACATTACTCATAATTCGAGTTTCGTCCACCGTCCTATGAGAGTCAAAAAGGAACAAATGAATAAGAAACAGAAGATAGGAGAGGGGATGGTTCATGGTTGTGGAGTTGGTGAATAAATCCATTCGAATTCAAACGCCATATATTAGAGGTTTGTCCATATACATTTGAAAATGGGATGATGGGAGTGTGTTGGATGATTAGATCAATAATGTAATAGCAAGACACATGCATGTGAGTTGTGACTGGCTTACATCGTCCCATAGTGGTTATGAATAAATTTCTCCCTCACCTACCCGATCACAATTCACAATCAAATTTTATTCTCTTTTAAGAAACCACATGCATGCTTCTTTGTTCTTCCATGGAAACCAGAAAGCAATGCTCGACTTTGGATTTATATTCCCAATCCCTCACGAGGGAGAGATTCTTATTTGTCACCGTTGATCATTTTGCTTATATATAACACTCTTCATGTAATGAGTGTTATAGACATACATGTGTACACTTAGCTTTAAAAACAGTTTATCTAAATCAAAATATTTATATTATCGGGTGGATATTGTCTCCTCTACCTAATCAATTTTATGAAAACCAATTAATAACAAGATCCTCTTCCTTAAAATGGATTAAGAAACTCAGACCCCAAGTTTGTCCGTGTGAAAGCTTAATATAGAATCCGTAGACTTCTTCAAGTTATGTATTTCCGAAAAAGAAAAAAAAAATACTTGAGTTGATTTATACTATTCTTTGGTTTATAATCTAAAAAATTATGGATGTTACGTCGGTATTTAATATTAATTTTAAACAGACCTTAAGCATTATTTAAGCATGGATGTTACGTCGGTATTTATGGCTATTGGCGGCCCCCGTAAATTACTGACTTATAGGTGTGAAGTCAAAATTTAGGCAGCCAACTCCAACACGTTCATTTCTCCTTCTTCTTCTAATTCATAATATCACCATTTAGTCAATTTCCAACAGCTTTCCGGCCATTGACTTTTGTACCAACCTAGTCAATTCATAATAGCCTATCAGCCTCACACGTGCCTATTGCACGTGTCCAAATCTATATATATTATTTTTGGACGAAATTTGTTTTGTCGTTAATTTTTGAAAAATTGACCTTTGATTACGGAGAAATGAGTGCTGCTATAAATTTGAAAAAATACAATTTTATTTTTTCACCCAACATTATTTCTAAATTATCCTTTAATTAAATCAACCAAATTCTCTTTCCCAATCAAACTTCCCCTCTCTCTCTCTCTCTCTCTCTCTCTCTCTCTCTCTCTCTCTCTCTCTCTCTCTCTT